ATACCACTCGAGACGTTCAATTTAAGCAGAAAAATTTATTCAATTCACATTCGGTGTGAGATTTGTTGTATGAATGAAACATTACGTTTCAATTCGACATAAAATTTATACACAACTCAATTTGCATGCTTTTGTTTAACGTCGTTTAATATCGATTTTTTATGTTTTCGGTAACATTAGCTTACTTTTTGGCATTAGGAATTCAAGTAGCATCGATTTGCCATAGTCTAGCATTCATTGACTGGAATTCTTGATGAGGTAGTACTGTCCAAGAGATTTGGGAGCTAGTTCCAAATGAAGTATTTGCTCAAATTGTTGTCAAGTGAGTTGAAGTCAGTATTATTATACATATATAAGATTGCACACTTTACACCATATTAGCTGCATTGGTGGATTTAGGTAATAGGTTCTACCAAGCACGTGTAAAAGTTTCGGGTATTTCCTTTAATGCTTTTCCTATCGAAACTAACTACTTAATATGCCAGTTGTAGCTGCGAATGCGCAATTGCTGCTTTAGAACTTTCTAAATTCACTTTATTTACAATAACTAATTTGCATACCCAAAATTATTTGCAATATATCACAAAACCAAACAGGAGAGCCCTCTCTACGAAACTTCAAAATTCAAACATTTCTACGTGATTTATTAAGTAATTTGCCGTAATTAATTTTCAGTTGGAGCTAAAAGTGTTGAAAATATATAACTGTTGACATCTTAATTGTTCACAATATACCTGATCTGTAAAAGTAAACAGTGTTACAATTTATAAGGCCAGCGAACAGGTTAAGCAAGTGAAATCTGCCTACTATTTGTGTAGCTGCTAGATACTGTGTACTCGAGTACACCCGTAGTTTGCATGTGATCCGCATAGTTAATTAATTTTATTTACAAGAGCATAAAAGGAAATTGATGTTTCAATTATCATAATAATACCGCTAATAATAATGATTGAATATTTATTCTGTATTGTTAGCTTTTTGTTGGTACCACACCCATATTCTTTATTTCTAAAAAATATTTTAAAACATTTTTTTCAAATAGTTTGCTTTGTTTCCTTGTATATTTTTAGATGGCTCCCAATATAATAGGCAGCACCTTCATTATTGCTGAGACTGCCATATCTAATGATGGCAATCACAATAACAAAGCCGCGGCAGCTGGAACAACAACCACTACCGCAACTTGCCCCTCCACCATCAAGGGCAATGATCGTGTGCCGACTCAAGGCGAACCTGCCCTAATGAAATCCAACGCCAAGAACGCAAAACTTGCTGAGAATAGTGCCATTCAGAAGAAACCCTATAAAGTGGAAATTGTTTGGGGAAATATAATGCTCTTCATTATTTTGCATTCAACTGCTTTGTATGGATTGTATCTGATATTTGCTGAAAGTGCCTATATTGAATTCGGTTTGAGTAAGTATTACTGACAGAACAAGAACAAATATATAAATACTTCATTTAACATTGGATATACATAGTATATCACTTTTGTAAATATAGAATAGAAAAAGTGTTTCTATTGTTATTGTTATTGTTTTTTAAAGGAATACTTAATAGCATTTAGCTATCAAGTACCAGTAAAGTTATTGTTCTCGAAGATATCAAAATAATTTAAAGGTAACAGCTGAACATATGAAAGGTTGTCAAAGTAATATTAAGGAAGTCTATATATAACAGTATTATATCGTTTGTATGATATGATAATGAGCACTTCATCAATTCTAGTTTTCTCTATTAATCTCAAAGCTCACAATATATTTTTAAGACTATATAATCATAATGCCAATGTAAAATTTCTTAAATCGGGTTTTGCAATTTGATGAACTTTAAAAATTTGAAAAGACTGCAGTTATCGTAATAGCACGTAGTGACGCAAATATACTCCTAAATGGTCAATGGTTCTTGTTTTATATTGGAAAAGAAATCTACACAACTGTCTAAGTAATTCATAAAATGTAATTTCCAAAATAATTTTTATGTAGTTGACAAAGTGTTGAATGATTTTGGTAAAATTCAAAGCATGTCTCAGCTTTTATGACACATATATCAACCTTAAAAATTCATTCACAAAATCCAAGTATCCCAATTGAATTATTGTCATCGTACCGCGTCACAAGTATTAAAAAGTTATATAAAACAGAAATTAGTTTTATGACTCGAACAGATTGAATTATTAGTAAGAAAAGTTGTTGAAATTCCAAGAACAGAACCGAAGTTCTTACCAATAATTAGGCTATATACTTTCGTAACACGTATACGCAGCTCTTGGATTATAACACGTCAATTGAAAGCTAAGCTAAGAGCTTATAATTGACGTATTAGCAGAAAACTGCTGAGATCGAGTACACATGTCTGCATTAATAAATAGGAGTAAAAAACGTGCATAGTACATTAGTCAACACGTAGCATTTCTTGCTTTATCATTTAATTTTATTACAAATTTTAATAAATGTTTATTTAATTTGGTATAGTCTATATAACTGGATTTATTGGCGGTTTGGGAATTACTGCTGGCGTACATCGTCTTTGGTCGCATAGAGCATACAAGGCCAAATTGCCTTTGCGCATATTTCTTATGTTGTGTCAATCATTGGCTTTCCAGAACAGCATCTATGAATGGACACGAGATCATCGCGTACATCACAAATTTACCGACACTGACGCCGATCCACACAACTCTAGACGCGGCTTCTTTTTTGCACATATGGGATGGCTTTTATGCAAAAAACATCCTGATGTTAAAGAGAAGGGCAAACAAATTGATATGAGTGACTTATTGGCTGATCCCGTTGTAGTCTTCCAACGCAAGTAAGATTTGCACCAGAATTGTTGTTATCAAAATGGGCATTTAACAATTATTTTAATTATAATTCTAGATACTATTTCATCGTTATGCCCATATGTTGTTTCGTGCTTCCTGCGCTATTCCCATATTTCTATTTGGGTTCATCACTAAAAGTATGTTTCTTTGTTTGCTCCATGTTGCGTTACTGTCTGTCATTGCACGGTACTTGGTTGGTTAATAGCGCAGCTCATTTCTACGGAATGAAACCTTATGACACCGCAATAAGCTCAGTCGAAAGTAAGGTTGTGTCAATTATTGCTTTCGGTGAAGGTTGGCATAACTATCATCATGTCTTCCCTTGGGATTATAAAGCAGCTGAATTAGGCACATATAAATACAACTGGTCCACTGCTTTCATAAATTTGATGGCTAAAATTGGTATGTTTTCTATTTTTATATTTATAAATAGTTCATAAATGAATGAAATGAATTACAACAAATTACAAACTATAGGCCAAGCATATGACTTGAAATCAGTTTCTGAAGAAATGGTGCTGAAACGTGTACGTCGTACTGGTGATGGTACTCACTCATCTGCCATTGATTGCAACAATAACTCTACGAGTGGCATCACAAACCAAATGGTATCAAAACTAAATCACGATGATGAGCCCGTGATGGTGTGGGGTTGGGATGATAAGGACATTCTGGAGGATGATCGTAAAAAAGCTACAATTCATGAAAAGAAAGAGGATTAGGTAGCAAACTTATCATTATTCCATTACTATAAGAGTACAGTTTTTAATTATAATAATTATAATTGGTGGCTGTTACTTTCTTACATACATTATACATAATATGCACAATATGCACAAAGCCAAATAAAACTCTTTGGGAATTGATGTGCTGATTCGAAATTTTATATTTACAAATCAAATACTTTACCCATCGTCAGGTCTGTTGTTTAAAACTCTAAAGAATAATTAAAATTGCAAAATTTTTAATTGAAAGCGAGAGGAATCTAGAGGGGTTCCCAAAAGATTTAACTTTAATTTCAACTCTAAATTAATGTTTTATTAATTAATGTTAATTATAACGCGAGAGGTTCTATTTTTAAGGATAATTCACATTGCAGTGTTAAGGTTTAGTTTTTAAGGAAATTGCTTGTAAAGTACGTGTTTCTAGTTATAAAAATTATTATAATATATATTTTTTGATATATACAAACAAATTTATTTTCTAAAGTAATTATTTTTACAACGTGTTGTTTTTTATATATATACTATGTTACAAATTATATTATTATTTAAGGGTCATATATACATTTGTACAATACAATAAAAAATAATAACCAAAAACTTAAAATTAAAAATAAAAATCCTATAAAAAAAATAAAAAGTTTAGTTTTTCCATCACCGAGCAATTAAAATAGATCGGCGAATATTGGCGAATAAGGAGAATATTTATTTGTTTCCCATAAAAGTTAAGATTTATCACTTCTAATAGAAAAATAATATAATAGTAAACACGTGTATAGAACTGAAAATATCATTTCTATTTGCTAAGGAATATCTGTAGATTGGTTTCGTGTTATAGAAACACGCGTTATAAGGTTATTCCCGTATACCCCGTATACACACGTGCAAAGATAGGCGAAGCTAATTACGAACTGGTACCGCGTTATAGGGGGGATTACTGTATAATTGAATTTTAATTTTTAAAATATATATAAGATTTTGAATCGAAAGATAAAGTCAATTGTTTAGTAAAGTGCCCTTAGTACTTTAAGCAACCTTTGCACTTAATTATCAGCTTAGTTAAAAAAGTTTTGATATTTTATCAGAGCTGTGCAAAATCAATTAAATTACAAATTAAATTACAATTATAGAAAAATTATAATTGATAATTGAATTTCCGGATTATATGTTTAATTTAATTGAAAAACTCAATTACGAATTGCAGTATAATTGTAATTTGTAGTTGAATTTCTACATTACAGGTATAATTTTAATTGAAAACCCAACTTTCTTTTTTGTCTCTATTCTAGATCAATTAGACAATTAGACAACAAAAAGTATTAAAATGCACATTATCGGTTAAAAAAACAAATGTAGGCAAACCTTATGAGCAAAACAAATTATATTATATGCACACAAATTGTACACACATATACTACACAAAAACAACGATCATCTCAAATTTGCTTAAAACAATGCACGCACTACGTATCAGGAAATGTAAAATACAGTCAAACCAAAAAAAGGAACAACAAAATGTTTACACATTCGCTTAAAACAAAAAACAAAAAAATAAAATTGCGCAAAACCACCCTTAAATGCATGTAAAAAGCAAAAACAAGCAAACATAATGCGGGCTACTTAAAACCCAAAATCCAACTATAGTTTCGATTCGTTTATCATCTCTCAGAAGTTTCGATGCTTCTTCTTCTCTAGATTATTTTTGCAAATTACGCGTAATTCATAGTTGGGTTTTCAATTAAAATTATACTTGTAATTTGGAAACGCAACTACAAATTACAATTATACTGCAATTCGTAATTGAGGTTTTCAATTAAATTACACATATAATCTGGAAATTCAATTATCAATTAAATTACTCAGTAATTTATAATTGAGCGTAATCTAATTACAAATATAATCATTACTGCACAGCTCTGTATTTTATAGTTGATGTGGAATGTCAGTTTTCTTTCGACAGAATAAATTGTCTATGATTTTATAATATCATAAAATTATAAAAAACATCGAATTCAATTCTATTAAAAGGTTAGAATTTTTGAGCCGTGAAACGAAGTTATTATGCAAAAATAAATTTAAAATATATATTATTTAATAGAAATAAATAAAAAATGCTAATCGATGTAGCACGAGGTCCCCGGTAACTCATTTAATCGCATTAATTCAATTTTTAAAGCATTTCTTTCGCGTCTTCAGGGTTTTTTTCTGATATCAGACGAGTTTGTTTTGTGTGAAATCTCGTTTCGAAATAAACGGAAGTGATGGAGAGAAATCGAAATTTAAAAACCACACGACAATGTTAACAAACTAGAATTCAATGAAAATCCAATAAAAAGTGCAAAAAATCGCTAAAGAACAAGAAGCTTAGAAGAAGCGTGTGGCATGTGTAGAAGCATTGTTAATATATGACCCATCAAATATATAAAAAACGATCAAAGCTATTAATTAGACAATAATAAAAATATGAACTTTTTGTTCAAAATTTTTTAGAGATTTTTGCATATTAGTTGCACACTATAGTAGAGATTGCTTTAAAACCACAAAACCATTAGAAATCATCATATATTGTTAAACAAAATGACAACAGTGAAGTCAGAACATCAACCAATTTTGGAGACGAACGTAGTTCCATAGAATTTACTTTTAGATTTTTAGTTCATGTTGAGATATAACTTCTAATGGCTGTCAATTCTGATAGTGTAAAATGAAGTAGACTCTCTTCATTATTGTTATAGTGTATTTCTTAAATCAATTTAATAATAAGTACATACTTTAATTAATATTTTTACAATATTTAATATAATTGTTAATTATTTTACGTTTCGTTGTTTCCAATCTGAAGTCACTGCTTTACAATTTTGAAAAATTATTTTATTAGTAGTTTCAAATGTTTCACTATCCAGCTATTTCTTTAAATGGCTCATATAACATGTTATGTATGTCTAGCAATTAGCGCCGTCGTAAATGCTTGCTTTGTCACTTGTTTGGGTTGGACATGACCTGAGGTATTCTAAATGGTGATTGAATGTGTTTTATGACATTCTATCAAATTATTATACAAATGAACTTGTGATTGCATTGGACCAACCATATATTTGGAGATAAAAAAAATATCCATGGTGTTTTGGTACATTATTGACCTTTTGTATTATTCCATTGGTGTAGAATTTTTCGTTGTGTCAATTTTTTATCATTAAGAGTTTTGCAGAGACCAAAGGAAATGGTAGTTAGATGCTCAAAATTCGTCAATTACTAATTTGTTACGTGTCAACTAAGATGTGTATGATCTGGTGTTGTCGCTATTAAGTACATCTCCTATTCTTTTAACCAATTCTGGTCACTTTTCCTTAACTGCTTTGTGCAAACGGTCAAGTCGTGAGTATTATAGGAATGAATTAATCCTTGCATCTGACTGCAGACAATAATTAATATATAGTTACTAAATACTTAATTACTAAACTCACTAAACACTTAATATAATATTGTTTGCCGTATATACAGAGTTTGAATCCATTTGTAAAGGGTCACTGGTTTGTAAGCGTGGACGCTTGTATTCGAAATTTATCATTTTTCATTTTTGATCATCATCAAATTTCTTTGCTTCAATTCAAGTGATACCTTAACATCGAGCATCGAACACCCTAAGTTATTCCGATTGTATTGTTAAGTGCTAACTGATAAGTATTGATAAGTTACATATTTTACACAATAAAGAATGAAAATGTTACCAGTTATCACGTTTCCATCATCTTATTGGACTGTATTTATAATGTAAGATTTGTGTTTAGAATAGACTTCTAATATGTTCTCGAGCATTTTGTATATGCTTAAGGAAATCTATATATATCACATACGTATTATTATTTTTATATGAAAGCAAGAAGTTTTGCGGAAGTTTAGAACAGATTTTGTGACTTATCCATAATAATTGTCTTAATCTAATATTTAGCAGGATGTTATATTAGGAATTCTGCAACGAGGTACTTTCATTGAAACGAATAAATGCTTTCTGTCCAATTAGAGTCAAATAGAGCACAAAATAGCTATGTTATTTACAATGGTCTACTTCGCCGGAAACCTGATTAGCTGAGCTTATACAACCTCACCCTAAACCTAATACCATCTTTTATTGAACTGAATTATAAAGATAAATTGAACTTAACATTATACCACTTCTTCCGCTTTCTCACTTTAAAGTAATTTTTAAGAGTAGCGCCGAAATGTCTATCGATGCCAGCATCAAAGCTTCAAAATCCAGTCTTGTTTAAACGTTTTTAGACATGAATTACGATTTGTTAAGAAGAACATTTCGGATTTTCGTAGGTTTTTCGCTGACAAAAATATGACATTTTTACCCTTCAGCGAGTTGAAAAATGTCGAATTGAGGATTTTGACCACGTTTAAGCATAATTTGCAAAAATTATTTTAATTCTTTTTTGTTTATTGTCTAATGGAATATTATATTACTGAGCTGCTAATTTGTTCTGAGACACTATTTTGCATTTTAATGATTTTAATGCTGAGCGTAAAAGTTGAACACTAAAAGCAAAAAAACCTGTAGAAATAATAAGAACTTGTATAGCCAGAAACCTCAGCTATATCGACAAGCAAAAAATTAATTTAAACTAATTTTTTTCAATACATTTTTTTTTCAGTTCAAATCCTTTACTATTTCGCAATATAACAGAAATAACAGAAATTACAGAAATTTATATAGACTGATAAGACTGTCCATCTGACTGCTACGAGGTGTTATAGGCTTTCCATATGCATTTTGAACTCAGTGATAAGAGGAATGTCCATAGTTTATTTGTTGTTGTTCGTCATGTGAGTTAACATGTGTCCGAGCGGCATAGATGAGTGCCGCTATAAATGCGCTATTATTCAGGAGTAACGTCATAATTGTGGCCATCTTCAGAACAGGCAGAATAAATGGAAGAAATGAACCCATTAAAATGGCAGGCATAATCATAACCGGAACTGCTAACTGCAGTATGGTTTTTTTAAGTGTACGTTTCTTTTTCCGTTTGCCAAGCATGGGACGTTTTTCCTGTGCCTCTTCTGATTCTTCTTCCGTAGTTTCCATTGCTACTTCTGGACGTACTCGCCTATAGTGTTTAAAAGACCGTGCCTGTTTTTTAGATTTATTTTCTACGAAATAAAAAGGAAAAAAAATTTGTGTAAAAATATATTGGTACATATATATTAATTAATAATTATGTAAAAAACTGTTATGATTTACTTGTGCCTTTCTTGAGTGAAAATTTTAGAGTGTTCTCCTTGCTTGGAACTATACGCACCATGATGCCGGGTAAGAAGTGTATTTTAATATCGCGGTCCTCGAAAAATTTCTGAAAATTTTGTACCAAACGCTGATTTAACTCTTTCTCTGCCATAGATGCATATTTGCTAGTAACCAAACTACCCAATATTTTCTCGGGACCAAAAAATTGATCCATGAAGTCTTTAGTTAAGTTTCCAGTACGCGGGTAATTCTTATGTTCTTCCATTTTTTGTAGTACGAATAGCTTTGTGCAGTGCAAAGCAGTAAATTTACGTAGGCATTCATAAATGCGCAGCGGTATTGTTGCGCGTACGTACGGTATGGTTTTAAAAAGATTATCGGCATTACGTGCTAAGGTTTCAGTGTCGCCATCTATTAACAATTTTCGCGCTACGTCGTAAAAGCTCAAATCTTCAGCGATATTTTGATTTTTTGTGTGTTGCTCGGAGCTTTCTGCCGCTTTACTGAAATGATCGTTGTCTTCACTGTTCAAAGCTTGTACTAGTTGTTGTTGTTGAGTCGGTACAACGCAGGCGCAGACTAATACCAGCCAAAATATATGGAAGGTACACATAGATACTTCAGACATGTTGTCTATAAAAGGACAAAGTATCCTTTTTCTTATAAATGTATTTTGAAATAAATCAGAAAGATTTGGTTCTGTGTCTGTGAACCGCACTGGTTTAAGCTCAGCTCTAAACTGCAGGCTTGCGCAGCAGTCTGACAGATCACAAGCAACCACTTCGCAATCTCTACTTACTTCTTTTGCTACTTTCCTGCAATTGAAAGAATTGTAGTTTTACTTGTTATGCCATCACTGCCATTTTCTAATGTGACCACAGCAGTCGAGAGCAACATTTCCCGACTGTATTTCATTTTGATATGATTTGAAATTGCACTCTTGTAGCATAAATCCGTCTGAGCGGATATTGTTCATGCGTACTTGATTATCTCTGCTGCCATGTTCCCAGCTTGGTCTCAGAGAATCTTTCTTAGCTGCTAGCAAGTACAGTTCAACTTTCCATTGATTCTAATTCAGTTGTTGTGTCCATTTGTGTGCGTCTATTTTGATAATGAACGAACAAACAATGGCTTGACCCAGTTGTGGCCATTTGCACAAAAGTGGTACAAAATGTCAGTGGAGCACTTTAAACCCAATGCAGTTGCAATCTAGTTTCTGATACGAGTTACACCAATTACAACTAACACTTTAAAGCGTATGTTCGACTTTAAGATTAATGGTTTTAGTGGAAATGGTTTTGAATGTCATATACGTATTCAATATTTTTGCCTTTAGTTTAGTAAATAAAAAAATTATAGATAAGTCTAATCACCCAAAACCATCCGAAATACGCAGCTATTCAATAATCTGGCATAACGAATTCAATAAAAGGCTATCGTAACTGAACGTTAAGCAGTTTCTGTTATTTTTGCAATCGACAAACAAATCATTTGAGTATTTACATTGTGACCGAAAAGCTTCCGGAAATTTTAAATAAAACGCAAAATTCTTAATCTTCATCAATATTTATTTT